AGAAAAAAATGCGCTTTAAAATAATGACAAATCAGTTTGCAGATAAAGGCTCGCCACCAAGAAAAATAAGTAAGCAAAATTTGTTTTTAAATATGACTTTTTCTTTTGGGCAGCCGCCAGCACACTTTTCCCGAGCTTAACTAATCGCAACAGATTTTTTCACAGTCACGTTGGGAGAGAAAGAAAAAAAAACAAAAAAAAAAGGGAAAGCCTTGTGCTTAGACGTCTGCCTGGCCATATCCTGCGGCCAGCCAATTAGAACCCTTTGTTTGCCTTCTGGTCTCCTCAAGACGGCGCCGTATCTCGGCGCACTTATCTCCATAATAAAGTCGTAACAATTAATTGAGCGACCTTTTCAATGGCTCAGGCCTAGCCCAATCTGTGGCTCCTTTGAACGCTGTTGGAGAGTCCCTCAGTCTGGGGCTTTAAAACAGGCCAAAATTGTTTTGAACACCTTTCGTGGCTTGACGCATAATTAGTACTTAAAATTTATTTGACGAGCCCCAATTAATTTAATCTAATTTTCCATTTCAAAAGTTAAGCTTTTAAATGGGCTTAATATGGTGCTTGATAGGTCGCTTGATTTGTGGAACTTTATTGTACGTTCTAAAAATAAAAATCATTTCGCATTTTTTATTGGTTCTAGTAAACTATTAAGGGCATGAAAAGAACTAGCCAAACTTACAATTTTATGAGACCCAATCAAATCGGAGGGCTTTTGATATATTTTTGAGCTTAATTTTTATGAATTGGGGTTAAAGCGGGGTTTGTTTTGGTTAAAATAGAGTAGGAATTGAGTCTTAATACTTATATAAGCCCTAAATTTAATCTGTTCTTTGACTCATGTTGATGAAGTCATAAAAATGCGAATACTCCCTGCACTCTACCCCGCATGTCATATTTCCCGCACAAGCTACAAATCTGTTTGAATATCAGCCTGATCTACATATACATATATTCTCAAATACACATGCAATTGGAACGACTCCATTGACTTTTTCGCACTTACCCGCGGTTTGTTTTGAATGAATTCAACTGTAAAGGTTAAAATTATAAATGTGCAAATGACTCATCATAAATAAAATTAATAAAAGGCACGGGCACGGTTAGCCGAAAGAACCTGGGCCAGACCCAGGCCCGATGAGGAAGAGGGAGACCTTCATTGAGAAAAAGTACAACGCATCAACATAAATATTATGATAAATGGTTTGTTATAATCATAATCCGCAGGGGGTAAGTTTCGAGTCGTGCGCTACGCATTTTGTATGCAGCGACGCCCCCGAACCACAGCCGGGAACTGGAACTGGAACTGGCAAGGACAGCGGAGCGTGGTACCCGGATGAATCCGGTGCAACATATGGTCGTTGGGTGGATTATACAGATGGCGCACGAATGGATTTCGATTGCAATTCAATAGCCGCGTCCAAGAGGGGCGAACACAAGTCAAGTTTATTTTTTATTGGTTTCGCTAACTGATGGCCGACGCGCTGGGATTAAAAGCCGAGCAGCGTTTTGAGTACCCACCATAATATACAGCCACAACATTGAGATACTCGCGCGTATCTCGCAGATACTTTGCGAACTGAGCATCTTGCGAGGCCATAAACGCCTCGTATCATAACTTTGCCTTCAGTGCATTACAAGTGGAAGCTTTACGCCTAATTAACACTTTATTCAAGTCGAAATTTTATTGTTTCAATTATGTGAGTGAATGAGCGCCAGAGGCAGCAACAAATTGACAAAACAATTTGTTTTTGATTGTGCACACACTCACACACACACACACAACAGCCCAACGGGGTACGTACTTCCAACCCAAAGCAACCATTTAGTACACACACACACTCTCTCTCACACACACACTCACACACACACTCTTCTCGCGGGCACATTAAAATTCAGGATGTGAAACAAACAATTTGCGGTAAGCGCAACAAGCCCGTCTGGCACGAAAAGGAGATGTCGAGAGGAGGCAGAGAGGTAGAGAGATATGTATGAGGAGATTTTTCAAAAACCACTTAAACCTTTTTCGAAAAAAATACGCTTGGAACGTTCCTCTAACTTTAGATAAGCTTAGAGTCGTAGAGCTACCTCGAGCCCCTATGGATATAGATTAATAGTATTAAATACAAAGTTTTTGATTTGGCACTTAAAGTATCTAGATCTTGGACTATTATGAAGATTTAGTTTTATAGAATTGTTTTTGGTGAATGCCTAATGATGGTAGAGTAATTTATTATATATTATGTACTATAATTTGGTTCCAAGATCAGTTGAACAACTGTTGACAAAGTAATTGAATGGGTTCTACAAACTGATTGATAAGTTAAGATTGCCTCCGTTTATGTTTTTTGTTGTTTCTTGTAACGATCTTTGGCGCTGTCGGATACTGACAACAGTTCAATACGGCTACAACCTGACATGGAATTAATTTGACAACATTAACAAATTAAACTGTTAAGCCAAACACACACTCTGACACACACTTAAACATTTGTCGACTCAACTGAGAGCCGTAACAACGTTCCGAGTTGTCTGTCCTGCAGTCCATCTGTCCAATGGGCCGCCCGCTTGGCAACGGACAGACATTTACAACATCATTTGTAATCCATATCGCACAGCATGTAGTCCCACAGTCCCAGTCGATTGCCGCCCTCTGTGTGTGTGGTGTGTGTGTGTGTACGTGTGTGTGGGAGAAAGATATATTGACCCTTCAACAGATTCTGTACGAGTGTCGGCACTTGGAATGCTTCACGCTATTTATTGGCTCACTTTCACTCGGACATGGAGAAGGATAGCCACCCAGCCAGGAGCTGCATCCATTCGTAGTCCGGGCCAGCAACTGTGACTGGGCGGCAGTTTCAGGGTTCGCCCACCAAGAAGAAGCTGGTGGCGTTCGCTGGGGAATTTGAGAATTCGCTTTCCCCGGCAAGTGTCGCTGGCCACGTGTTTGGATTTCAGGTTACACTTGAAACGTTTGTCGGATTAGTGGTTCCCATTTGTCAACATGATGATGTGGTTGATATTAATTGGCATAGTATTAGTTTAAGTCTGTCGTGGTCAGGCACACACACACACACACACACATATAAGAGGTTGCAAGCGTTTAAAATACCAAAGTAGATACTCATTACATCTATGTAACCTTGGGCTGAAGCAAGTGCACTTTAAGAGCGCACGTATCACTTGTTTTAATAGAGTTGTTTCTAAACATCTTAAGCTCAGCTTTTAGCATATGGCTAGCTTGATAATTTAATGTAATGGCATTTGGTTTTTGCCAGTTAATGGCTTTTAATTGCTTGCAAATTGTTTTTTCTTTCATCTTTTGATGTATGTAAATAATAAATACTGAAAAACGAAAACTTGAAATCTTGCAGCAATTTGTATTTAAACTTACAAATAAACCATTCGATTTTGATAAACAAATGTTAAAAAAATATTTAAATATTGTTTTTGACAATTTTCATTGTTTCTGTCTAATTTAACAAGCACATTCGATTTTCGTTTCTTGTTTTGCAACACATTTAACTTTAGCAGAATTTTAATATAGCTGACATATATTTGACAGGAGGATAAAATGAAAAAGGCTTTTCTGTTGGCATATAACATCTGGTAAATTTTACTAGAAGGTGTTGCAGACAGTTTGAAGATTTACTTGACAAGTAGAAGTCACTAAAAATATTTTCTATTGTTAAATTAAAGTGTTATTAAATTAACTAATTTCTTAATTAACTAAGTGCCAATTAAAATTGTTTATCAACAGGAATAATACAAACAAAATAAAACTGTAATTTCTTTGGATAGTCGCAGAGTGTTATTATATGGCGATCCTTTACAGGTAGAACTGCAGCAACTGTCCTGGGCACTGTCCCCCATTAAAAACGCTCCACTTGTGCCCAGTTGTGATTAATTGAAATGTTGTGGCAAGTGAATGGAATTGGAATGGCAACTGTTGATAATGCCCAAAATGTTGCATAAATGCGAAATACGGTGCAAATTTCCCGAGGATATATGTATGTGCAGCAGTGCAACTGCAAGTTGCAACTGTTGCAACTGTTGTTGTTTTCGCTGGCTGTTCGTTCCCATTCCCAGCTTTCGTATGTTTTCCTGCAATTGCCGTCTCTGCCCCCGGTATCGAAGAAGGGGACAGGAAAAATATTTTGACAAATGAACCTAAATAACAGGTTGCAATCGCTCAGAGGGGAGAGAGAGCAGTCGAGCAGTCGAGCAGGGAGACAACATATGCGTGGCCCTGGCCAGACTGGACCCTGTACTCTGTACTCTAGACCGTGCATCTGTACCTGTGCCTGGACAGGAAAACGTATGGCCAGACAACCTTGATACCTCATTTATTTTAAAATGTAGCTGCCACAGTCGCAGGCTGGCTTTAGTTTTTGCTGCACAAATGAAATCGACACATTGGGTAAGAAAAGAAAAAAAGACTTAAATAAAAAGAAACGCGCCCAACTTTGACGTCGTCTTCGAGCTGAATTCATCAGTCGCACTGACGAATCGACGTCGGGCCACTCTCGAAAATTGTTACAAATGATCGCAAATAACAGATCTTTGCCGCACCGTTGCGCTGTGTGCTCGCCCGGCTCTGGGCCTGGTTCAGGGCGCGCTGTCCATCAAAGGAGCCGAACCCAGAAACAGAGAGCGAGAAACAGAAACGCAGACGGAGACGGAGACGCGTTGCGTGTGCTCGTGTGATCGAGTGGGCTTCAAATGAGATTGGCCAGCTGGGATTGCCTTATTGGAATCTGGTATATACATATGTAACTGGAACTGAGAATGGGACTGTGTCGGGGACTGAGCTGCGATCGCGGCGCCGTTCGATGCTAACTAAATTGCACTGATTTCTTGATTAATGGGAGTTTTGCATTTTCCAGTTACGGCCGCGGCTGATTGCGGCTTTTCATCTCGCCGTTGCAAGTACACAAGTGGCAAGTGGCAAGTGGTAAGTGGAGAGTTGCTTGTGGCTAGTGGCTGATGGTACTTACCCTGATTGTTGTTGTTGCTGCTCTTGCGTGATGTCTTCTTCTCTTTCATCCAGGGATACTCGGGCACCGAGTCCATCCCATCCGGTGTCTGTGGCACACCAGCGACACCAACAACCGGATATCCGCCACCGACACCAACACCGACACCGACACCGCCACCACCTACGCCAACAGGTGTGCCAATTTTCGGACTCTCGGGGCTCAAATGATTGAGGAACTCGGCCATCGATGGCTGCGAGTTGATGAAGCCCCCCTCGGAGGCCATCCAGTAGGCGGTGTCGGCCGCTCGTTTATCACAGTTCGGTGCCATTTTGTTGACAAGCATCACCGCTGGAGGCGGTCCCTGCGGCCCCTGTGGCCCTGCTCCGGCCACAACCGGCACCACCGTCGTCTGGCCAGTTTGCACCTGGAGGGGATTGAGCGGCGACTCGGATTTGATCTGGGCGCCCATTTGGGTGGTGTCCAACGTGCTGCAAACCTCTTGCATTGTAAACTATAAATTTCTTATGCGTCTCTTGTCTATTTCTTGTATTTCTTGAGTTTACGTTTTACTTATGCACCTGAAATGAAACAAAAAGCTCCGATAATTATTTTACCATCAAAGTAATTGATATTTTAAATGCAATAAAATAAAATAATTGTATTATTAATGTAGGGACACCTTAATATTGTTAAATAATGTACATGTTCTTATTTTTTGTAATATGCCTTTATTTACATTTATTTGTTTCCCATGCATAATAAATTGTAACTTTGTAAATTAAAATATAAAGAAGGCTTATCTGAAATGCAGCAGATAAGCTAATAAAATAAATTGTACATTGAAAGCAGAAGTAAATCAAGAATTCTAAATAATTCCAAATAAGACTTCAAATTAATGTATTAAAACAGTAAGAGAAATCGTTTTCCGCAAACTCTTTTAAGTTCAGTTGAAGTTAGGAAGGGAAAGGAAAATGGCCGTCGGGAAAAACAAATAAGAATTTATCAAAAATTTAAATGTGTATATTTGTACGTAAATGTATATTATTACTGCTGTAGGCCGAAAATGTATACTAAAAGTTATGCTTGTTTTTAATACAACAAATTTATAAAATTATTTCTTGAAGTATATTCAAAAAAATAAGTGTCCAAAAAATTACACTTAATAACGAATTTTAAACACACAAATGTTTTTATTTAAGATGGCCAACACTCTAAAGTAGGTTTTATATATTAAAAGACGTTTTTTTCATTAATTGTTATTTTTTTGTAAAAATGTGCGATCTGTTAAGCTCAATACTAAATTTGTTTACTTGGTTTTTTTTACTATTTATTAGTTGTTTTATTATTATTGGTATTTATTTGAATTCGGCATTCATGCACTGAATATATTAAGAACTAAACATTTATTTTTTAATGTATTTAACATATTAAAAATTGTTTAATTCAGAATAGTGAACTCCAAAGTTTATATACACATTTTAATATGTTGCTGGAGCAGTTCTATGCTGATCTAAAATCGAATAATTTTAGATTTATATTTATAAATTTAGTAAGCTATATAAAAAAATTAAATTTAAAAAAAACATTCAAAAGCTAGCTAAGGTAAACAGTAAATACATCAGACAGGTCTAAAATTGATAACATTTATTTTAATATAACAAGTAGCAAGATTGTTAATTATAGAGCTTTCACGCACCATTTCTGAAGTTCGCTGAGACAGTTCCATGTGCAGCGTTAGTTGAAATAAGCTTCCATTTTGTGTTTTTCACATTTTCAGCACTTGTGCACAATGCGGGTTTTTATATATTGCTGCGCGTAATAGCACCACACTTAAACTATGCGAATTGAGTACTATCTCTGTTAGTACTGTTTATTATTATGTATTTTCGAGATGTTTTTACGAACAGGGTCAGATAAGCCCGCAAAGCAGGCACAAAGTTGTCAGCGACACGGGCAAGCGGCAAGCGGCAAGCGCGACGCGATTTTGCGACTATGGCGCTGGCGATGGCGATGCCGATGGCGGTGTCGAGCGTTGTTGTTTAACCAAGCGGGACAGTTCCAGTTCCATCATGTCGAGCTGCCAGCTACAGTTTTACACACCTTGGCACCCATGGCGACGCGAGTGCCAAAACAATGGGAGCACAGCACGACGGACGACCCGGTACAATGGTGCGTATGCGTAACGACAATTCGAGTTGAAGTTTTTTGCTTGCGAACTGAGCAAAGGGCCTGGCAAAGCGACAAGAAACCGAAGCTGATCTTGCAATGGCCACACTACACACAAATACACACGCACACACACGCACGCAGTCGACATATACAGTATACAGTTGCACTGCAATTTGTAGTTACAAGTTACACTTTTCTACACACTCGCGCCACACTATGTGCTGCCTGTAGCTGTCTCTTTCTGGCCTGTGGCGTAGGTTCTGCTGCCGCGTATCGGTGCGCAGAACCGGTTTCAGTTGTTGCTATTGCCTCAATTGTGGCTTTTGCCGTGAATATTTCTTGCCTATTTATTTTTTACTAAATATTATTCACTACATATATTATTGCACATTTCCAAGAAACAATTCAGTTGTATATTTTAAGTGTTTCAGCTCGACTTTAAACAGTTATTCACGTAAAGACTCAGACTCGCAACTCTCCCTCCGGCTTGGGCAATACGACGCTGCTTCGTGCGGGCACGACTCTTAACCAACCATTTCATCCAATAGCACCGAACGCACTGAAACTTGTCCGCACTTGTCGCAAGGAGTGGCCAAGAACGAGCATTTTGTACGACTATATTCAAAGATGAGCGCCACAACCACCAATCGGGGGGGCGTGTCCAAATCGCCATGTAGTATGTGTGTGTGTGTGTTTTGAGTTTCGTTTCTTTGTGTTGTGTTAGTGTGGCAGAGCGCTGCGCAATGTTTGGGGTGGTTTGAATTGAGGCAGAGAGATGTGCCTAATGCATGCTCGTGAGCGCTGAAGTCGTGTTGTGCTTGAAATGTCGTGCATTTTCGTGAGTAGTAAAAGATCTCTCATTGGAAATATGTAGACGGTTAGAAGAAAACAGGATAAATATTAGAAATATTATTATTAATATCAAAAGATGCATCAAGTTGAGAATGTGAGGTTTTTAGGTTCATAAATATAAAATTTAAAATACTCAAAAATATTAATATAGACTTGGCGAGGACAACGGTTCCGAGCTGAACCAAACGAAACCTGTTTTTTATATATACTTTTTTTTTGTTAATATGCATTCTGAACAGAAATCTTGTAAAAATGTTAATATCTCATCAGATGATATTATCGTAATATCTTGTGATTCCACCATTTTCGTTCTTATCTTATATTCAAGTTGTTGTTGTTGCTGTTATCACTAGATCTCTACAGCTCGACTATAGATAAGCGGAGAGCGAGCTGAATGTATATACATGCGCAATTGAGATGGCCAAGGCGATTGCCGGGGGTGGAGTTCGGCCAGTCGCATACAGGTAGGCCCAAGAGCCGCGCCGACACACACACACTCTCCGCGCTCACTCACACACATGAACTCAGTTAGCTGCTGCAAAGTCTCCGCTACGCTGATTGGTCGCTGTGGCATTTGTGCGATTTTGTCGCTCTGTCGCCTTGTTGCTTTGTCGCCTGCGCTGTCAGTTCAGCTGGGGCGCTGTTTTTACTGCGCTCAGCTATAAACGTGTTGCTTGTGACGGAATTTATTTGCTTTTTGTTATTTACACATTCCGTCGCCGCAACGCCGCAGCGAAAGCCCCAGCGACGAGTTTCCATTTCTTTTTCTCTTTTTTTTTTGTTGGCTCCGTCGCTGCTGTGGCGTTGCGTATTTTTGACATTTCGCTTTGCGCGCTGCGCGTCTTTCTTTTTGTTTTGAGCGCCTCTTCTTGTCTAACCATCATGTTGTCAATCTTGGTGGCATTGTTTTTCTGCTGCCACAGTTTTTCACATTCTGTTTTTATTGGCAATCGCTGCGTCGCTGTTTGTTTCATTTATGCTGCACAGTCGATGTCAAAAGTTTATGAACCAACATACAATAGTGTCTATATTGCCTTTGTTAACGATGTGTGTATATGAAAATTACGGAAAATAAATAAATCCCGAGCAGTTTACACAATGGATGCTCGTATCTGCAACGATAAAATGATAACTTTTAAGGCTCATTTGCGCATTTAAAGTAACCAGTAACATGATAAGTTTGTCTTTCTAACCTATCGTAGGTCCTAACATTTTTAACAGCCAAACTATTTGGAGAGTTTGTTTTTAATTGAAAATAGGTTCTGTTTTAGTTTAATAAATTGATACATAAATAATCAATATAGATACAAATTTCTGATGAAGCCAATTTCAAATCACTTTAGTTTTCACGACTTTACTACTATCTTTACCTTACTATCATCTTGGAAACTCTAAATGTCCAAAGGCATCTCATTATTAGAGGTAATTTTGACATAATATTATAATATGTTACTGATAATTATCATTTATCTTGTTCACAAGTTACTTAGTTTAATCTTAAAGAAAAGAGACGGAAGGTGTTGCGTTCGCTTAAATAAGCAATATGTATGTATGTATGCATAAGTATACTTACACACATACTTACATATATGTTTGCAGCCCAGATTTGGCGTCAGTTTGCATAATCCTGTGTGATTCCCTTTCTTTTAGCCTTTTGCCATAAAACTCCTCTCATAGGAAACACATGCGACGGGCAACAGCTCGAATTTTATTGGCGGAGATCAGGACTCCGGGCTCAGGCCAGCCTTAGGTTAACTAAGCAGGTAGCTCAAGGTGACGTATTCATGGCACTTTTGGAAAACCCGCGGAAAACCCGATTTGTTTCTCTTTCATATCTCGGTAATGGGTGAAGATTTACCTGATGGAACAGTTTTAGCTAAAAACACAGGTATAAAAAAAAAACTTTTTAGGTTTCGTTTAGCTTTAACAATTTATAGGCTATTTTTGGAAAAATTTAAAATAGAAATTGAACATTTTCGAGCAATAATATAGGTTAACTCTAACGTCTGTCACTGAAATATATTTTTATTTGGCCGACTGTTGAGTGTCTATAATGTCTGCCAAAGTCAATTAAATTGTGCATTATAATTAGACACACGCGCCAAAGACGACAGTCGTTTCGCAATCAAGACTCACGCCACCTTTCAAAAGTGTCGAGGACTCTCCGGAGCCAAAAACTGGACACGCCAATAGACGCGACACGTAGCAGCAGCAGCAGCAGCCGCAGCAACTGCAGCAGCCGGCTGGTAGCTGACCTGGCGCCGTGTACAGGTAACAGGCGGGTAGAGTTTTCCGATTCGCGTCTATATTTACCTGATGGGTATAAAAGTAAACCGGCGGCATGGAATTGCATCCAGTTAAAAAACAAATGTGTCACAGAACAGAAGCTCAAATAACTCTCAGCAAAATGTACAACAATTGCCATACAAGTGAATCGTATATGATGACCGCTGCGGACAACAACGACTATATGGTAGGTTTGACATATTTGCTTATCAACTGAACAGCTTCTACAATATACTTATTTGTGATATTTTCTATTTCCAGATGAACTCTGCTACGGCTCGTTTTCAGACTCAATCTTGTGAGTCCCTCTGCCCTCCAGTCGCCAACAAGTGCAAGCGTTCACGCACCGCATTCACGAGTCATCAGCTGCTGGAACTGGAGCGAGAGTTCAATGAGAATAAATATCTGGGCAGACCGCGTCGCATAGGGATCGCTCAACGTCTGCAGCTAACCGAGAGACAAGTGAAGATTTGGTTCCAGAATCGACGCATGAAAAGCAAGAAACAGGCCAACAGGCAGCTGAGCCACAAAGGATTGTTAAGTTGTGCTCCAACTCAAGCCGTGGATCATTCGGAGCCACAACTCAGCGAGCATGAGCTGATAGTTGAACGTCTATTACAGTACGTTAGCGAGGGACAACAACCTGAGCCATTTGAGCTGTGTGATCAGCAATATAACTATGGAATATTGGAGCAGGATCAGTTCGATTTAAATGCCGATAAGAACCCTGAACCATATAATGATCGTTCCGAGATTACGTGTGTGGACATGTGGCAAAACAGTTGGTTCAGCACTGAGCTATTGGATGGAAGTACAGAGACAAAAGACGTGCCGGAATTTCCACACATCGATCAGTTAATTGCTGAGCCATCGATAGATCAGCAGCTTGGCTGGAATTCGAGCAGCTCAATGGCCACATCTGCATCCTCTTCCACCGCCTCATATGACTCCTTTGAACCGTTCGATATTGATCTGCAGGAGTTCCAAACTATCGATCAGTTCAATAGTGCTCCGATTGCCGAACAACAATTTAGTTGGGATTCCAGAGGCACCTCCACAGCTTCTTATGATTCCTTTGATGTAGATTTCGACTTTTTACAGCATTTATTAAACACATAAGAGATCATCATTTAACTTAATTTAACAAACCTATTTTTATAATTATTAAATAAATGTATATAACTAAATTAAGACAAACCGAACAGTTTCAAAGATATTTTGAATTATTTTGCTTTCATTACTTTTACATTATTAAGCAAGTTCTTTGAGCCATGCTTTAATTTAATTTTTTAATATTTAAAATTAAGAAAATAAGCTTATTTTTATAAAGAATATTAAGCATTTGTGATATTTTATTTTATAATCATTAAATTATTAAAGAATAATTTTATTAGCTGAAAGTTAAGTTAATAATATTTTATATTTTATTTTTATATTTTATTTTTTATAAATTACATAGTTAATATTTTGCTTAAATAAAAAACCAAATTGTGCTGAAATTGAAGCCAAATGTTTTTCATATTCAGCGGTTTTTATACAGCTCCGCCTTTTGCCGGCTGTTAACTTAGATAAATTGGTGTCATCACATCATAAAGTAATTTCCACATATTGAAATTTTGCTCGTCCAACAAAGGAAACGGATACTTGCACACACACACACACACACACACACACACTCGAATATGTGTGTGTATCCAGTTTGAATATTGCTTCCTCTTTGAAGCAGCTTGTTTTGTGGACAATATTTCATCAGCAGCTGCTGTGCCAGATATTAGTTTTATTATTTCAATAACATTAATGCATCGCATTTCGTTATCGGTAAACTTTGACTATTCTACCATATTGATTAGAAAAGTTCGCAGGAAATTGGCAAAGTGAGTAGATAGATAGTAGATAAAGCAAAGTTACTTAAATACTTATATGTTTAATTCCAAGAACAGCATATCTACTCTATGAGAGTTGAAATTCTCCCGTTCCGGATTAGTTGTATTACAATATTATTAATAACGAATTATAACATCTAAAAAGATTTCCTTCGCTGATGTTGGTTTAGATATTATTTTTGGGCATTTGTTTAGTATTCCCAATTATTTTCTGCTAATGACATTTGAAAAAAATTAATATGCTTCTATAGAAACCTATATTTAATACAAAGATATATGATATTTGAGCATGATTCGATACAAATTGATGTCAAAAGAAAAAATTCATTTTTAAATGTTTGATAAATTAACTTTTTTATGAACTACTAATAGTGTTGATTATGAACTGTATTGTTTAGTATTTAATCAAAAGGATTAATGACAAGAAAAATCAATTAGGAACAAAAAATTTTCCGACTCATTTGCAGTAAGAGATACGCACACATGTTTCTGCTTATATAGATATAAATGTATCTATTGACTATTTATCATGTGCGATTTTAGCTAGCCTCAAAATGCTTACGAGTATTTTCCTTCCGCTCTGGCATGTATACCCTCTCCCTCACACACACACAAACACACAAACACACGCACACACTCGAGCGGAACTTCAAGCTAAAGATGCAACTACCGCAACAACCGTGACAAGTACAACATTTGTGTCGCCTGCCTTTGCCTCGCTTCAATCTGTCGCCCTCTGGTGCAACCTTTGACACGCATAAATGGAACAGGAACAGGCGAACCCCCCCGCACATCCGCCGCCCTGCCCCGTCAGTGTGTGCCATACATGGGTACAACGGTTGAAAGGGGAGGGGGGGGGGCCTGTGCACTCGATTCTGGCCGGGAACGGGACCCAGTCCGGGACAAACAAAGATCGCAATTTGACTCTACACCACGGAGCTGTCAACTCGCACAGAGTGGAGGAAGATTGATTACCGCCATCGAATTGTTTGCCTTGACGGGGTGGCTGCAGGGCTGGGGATGGACTATGCTGTGGACGGGGCTGCGAGTTTCGATTGAATGGCATTAGAATCGAAAGAGTTATTCGCCGGTTCACGCTTCCGCAGCTCTGCTGGCTGACACTGACAACGCTGACACCAACATGAAAATTCCTGCTGTCATATGTAAACAACACTTCAGTTTTGCGTTTTTCTCTTCGCCGTATTCGGTTTCTATTTGCGACTCAAACTTAAAATAAACTCCTAATGAGCTTTACAACTATTATAACATTAAATAGCGGCAGTGCTTACAAAGTTATGTATTTTATAGGTCGCCTTCAAATGTAGGCCATAACGATGCAAAAGCTATCGCTTTTTTATCGCCATTGTATCTTCCTATTGCTTATCGCAAAAAAGCGAACGTTCTTTTAGTCCGGTTTACTTTGAATTTGTTCAATAAAAGCGTCTATAAATTCCAATTGCTTGGAATGATATTTACGCGCATATTTAAGGCAGATCTCAAAGCTGGCCTCGTCGTTTAAGCTTTTATAGGCCATGGCGCGATACAGCCAGGCTCTCATGTTCTTCTCGTCCAACTTGTTCAACACAAAGTCACAATCGATGATGGCACGCTTAAAACGCCCCAATCTATAAGAAATTTCTTTACATACTGCCATACAGATATTAAGGATATACAAATACTTACTTGATAAAGCACAGAGATCGATTTATGTACAATATGGGGCTGTCTTTGATATTTTCCAGAGCTTGACTGTACATACGCACAGCATTCTCGTAGTCTCCCTTGCGATACTCAGAGTTACCAAGCCTCGAAAAGGGAATACGGATAAGAGTTTCTGTATTCTATAATCATAGTTTACATACTTTCTAAATTTTTGAGCCACGCGCTCGCGTTCTAGGCGTGCATTGGACCGCTCAGCCTGGTCCACTTCCACCTGCCTCATGAATGTAAAGCGATCCTTGGAGCTATTTGGGTTATTCCCTTTTCCATCAATTTGATTTTTCCTCGCGGTGACCATAAAATTGTCGTCTGTGACACTTTCTGCCGTCTCTTCGGGCTCCGTTTCAGCCTCCTCTCTACAATTATGATGTGTATTTATTTAGCTTTTAAAGGAGCTGCTATATTTACTCATTTGGTTTTTTAATGCCTCGCAGCAAATTCATAACTTCGTCAACCTTTGAATCGAGCTGCAAGAAACTTTCATCCATTTGCGGATGTTGCAGTGAATACATATTGAGATTTATTGAGTATTTATTTGCTATAAATATCTATATATTTTTGTTAAACGTTGATTTTGCTGGCGATTTCCGTAAACATTTATGTTTGCATTCGACCAGTTTGTTTACACAACATTCACAACTCCACCAAAGGTATCGCATGGCAACCAGGGCACGAGGACTCCATAGATACTCAATAAATGCTTGGCAACATGAAAAAGTGTATTTACACTGAAAACTATATAAATGTGTGTGCGTGTGTGTATGGCCATAAAGATTAAGCTTGTTTAAATCTAAATACCAGGCTAGGAGTAAGGGATATTCCGGCACTGTAATTGCGCTGATAATACCTAACTCAACTTTCAGCAATTCCTTGTGGAACTTGAGGAGAACTGTAAGTGCATGTGAGGTCCTTAATCCAAGACAAGTTCTTAAAGCTTACTCGATTTACTATGGTTATAATATTGCATTTGATTGGACAAACTGCTTGAGCTTGATATTTTTCGCTATATTAGCAGACATTACGATTATATGCGAAAGGTTTTTAGCCAATGGTGCATATCGTTTAAATGGATTGTACATTACTTTTCATTTAATCTCATATAATTTGTAAGATAAAGAAATGCATGCATGCTAAGCTCAGAGGATCAATTATAGACTATAAAACATAATGGCATCTAATAATAGAGCCGCAATCTGAGCACTAAGCCAAAGACCCGACTAAAGTTGCAGCCATGCATTTTCATGGCACCGAAACTGGAACTGGCTCCGGCTCCAGCTAAGGTTGTGCATGTCGCTCGACATTACCTGCTCCTCTGTGTATGTGTGTGTGTGTGTGTGTGTGTGTGAGTGTGTGCACCCAACTCAGTCACACACTTTGCGAGCTGGCGCTGGCGGCGGATATGTGTCTCGTGTGCACATTGCATTTAGGAGCACAACGGCGATGGCGATGGCTATGTAGATGGAGTTGGAGCTGGAGTTGGAGATGCCAGGCCGGACATGGACATGCTTAAGCGCCAGCGAAGCTCGTTGCAACTTTGGCTGTGGCTGTGGCTGTGGCCGTTTGCTCGTTCCGTTCACGCAAGTGGCAACATGCAGGAATAAATAATTGCAGCTCAAAGCGAGCCGGTGAACTGGTTGTGGCACCATTGTGGCACAACCCTCCTTTCGCCCCTACCCTTACCCTTTCACGCTGCCAGCGACACCAAATTGCTCACATGACACATCGCATTTTTATAGAAATTGCGCTTAGGCAAAGCGCTCCAGAGCTGTTTTTGTTGTTGTTTTTTTTGCCTTCTGCTGCTGTTGTTGTCGTCCATATGACGAGCGTTCCGGCGTCATCAGCATAGATTGCCATTCGGCGTAATTGTTACAAATGGATTTCATGTAATTTAATTGTGGGTTTTACATCATGAAAAATATACCGGCCATTGGCTCATAAATACACAAACTGAGCCGGCACGTACCTATTTATATACAGATACGTATCCTTATTGGGAGGTCAACAGCAATGTGCATGCGTATGTTGCATGCCACAAGAGGTAGCTGCTGAATGTGCCATGGCTCGAATGATTAATTGGATTAAACGCCTTTTTATGGAGTCAACTGCAATTCCTTCTTTAAGAGTTGAACTGATGACATGTAAATATTATTAATAGTATTTTGGAATAGCGTCTTAAAATGTTGAAAATATTAAAGACTACAAGAAATTACCCGGCGTTTGTACTCAGTGTATTGACAACAATCAAATGATGCAACAGAAACAATTTAATTATTATTATCAACACCTATTAATTTTCAGTTTCTTTGTTTTTTGTCTTTTGAGAAAATATTGAAAATTAAAAACTTAATATGAATATTGAAAGTTGCTGTTGAATTTGAGCCGGCGACTTGCCGTTTGTTGGTCCGACTCAGGCACCTAAACACACAGGCTCATGTCCTCAACTTTGCATAGCTCACGCGCAAGTTGTTGATGTTTTTAATACAAACTTTGACCACCGTTTTCCCCACTTACGGATCA